CTGATCCTGATCTGTGTGTTCTGCATCAGCTCCCACTGCTGCTGGGTTTGGTCTGGGACTTTTCCAGTGCCTGGCTCCGCAGAGCCTCTGGTGACGTATTCGTCACTGGGGGGAGGATTTTATGTTGATTTTATAGATATCTGTACATATTTCATTATTTTCCTATTTACATCATTATCCTGTAGTATCAGTATTATTGTTTTATTAACCTGTTAGTTTTATTTTCCAATCCATAAGTCTCTCTCCCTTATTCTCTTTTCTTCTGGGGAGGGGAGAGGGATTAATAATAGAGAGCGTCTGTCCAGGACTCAGTGGCTGGCCCAGCCCTAAACCACGACAAGCTGGAAAATTCTACGCTACTGATCTTAGCGTCTTTTTAGACTAATAAACAGTATTTTTAGAGGCCAAGTTATCTCGTTGTACAGTAACCATCCCACACAGGTCAAAAGAACCTCACCCTGTGAGTGCTTAGTTTTTCCTAACGAATCTAAAGGAAACCAAGAGGCTGCTGACTCAAACAGTAGACACCTAAAATCAAGTGAAATAAATCCCACCCAGCCTTAATGACAGGATAAGCTGTACAGAGGTCTACCCCCAACTGCCCGTCAACTTCACAGGGCTGAGTGAGTGAGGGGCTCGCTGGGCAGCCAGGTGCTCCCACCAAGGAATTCAGCACCCTGAAGGCAGCTGGACAACTGCTACTAGCATGCTAATACCACAGCTCTGCTAAGTGGAGTGACGATTTCAGGCAAACGTTGGACAATTTCCAACCAACTTATTCCAACCTTCTGTTCTTTCTCACAGATCATCTTGAAAGCACAAGTTTTGCAGATATTATATAAACCAAAAATTGCTACAAATTCCCCACAATTACTGTGTGCATATCCTTCAGAAGGAACATTCCAAAAGCTACCTGAACGCTTGTGGGCTTTATCTCTGCTCCAGTGAAAATGCACACTGCCAGTTAAGCAAAAACCAGAGGCTGTCCAGCTGCAGTTGCTTTATTCAAAGAGCATGAACTGCCAAGGCATCCGAAGTTCCCTCTTCAACACCACTAACAAAAACGCCTGCTTATTTAATCTGTGCTGGCATGACTGTTGCAGAAAATAACCCGACAAAGACTACAGTCTGTACTCGTGTTTCTGCTGAAGGTGGCACAAATGTAACATTGAGATGTTGCTTCGAAAAAGTCTGGGATTCATTATTGTTTGATATCACAAGAGGCGCAGATACACCTGGACACAGAAAGGGGGAAAAGCCGAAAGCCTCACTTCAATGTGTGCGTTATCTGTCCTTTCTCCTTGCACCGCTGCCAGCTAGAGAGCAAGCATACCTTCAGGAACAGACAGAGTAGGCTCTGGGTTAAAAGCACCTTTGGTTGGCTCACTTTCAGAAGTACAACAACTCATCAGGGTTCTTAACAGCTTCACAGCTCAACTGCTCCTAACAGTAACAGCTACTGAAGTCCAATCCATGTGGCTCTGCCCACCCACAAAAAGAGAGTACATACTTCTTCCTTCTCCATCTCCTTGTGGAGCTCCTCTTTAGCAGCCACTGCTTCCTTCTGCAAGCGAGCAGCCTTCTCTTGCTGTTCACGTAGCCTGAGAACCAAAGCAACAGACCATTACTTTCAACTACGCAGGGGTGTCCTCCCATCCAACGCCTGCTGCAAATCCCTCTCTCTCACATAGCTCTTCAGAGCACTCCCCACCATACTTCCTGCATTACTGAGCCCAAAATTCCTTTGTGGCAGCTCAGTACCCATGATGGTCCAGAGCTGCACTGACAACACAAAGTAGCTCTTCACTGCTTAGGTCTTCCACTACTGCCCTCTCTTCTTCTTTTCAAAGCCCTGGCACAGAATTTCATACATAATTGGATATTGTCTTACTTTTCTGCCTGGATCCTCTCCTGTTCCTTCTTCCTCTCCAGCTCCCTCTCTGCAGCCAGTTTTTTCTCTCTCTGCTCAGCAAGCTTCCTGGTACGTTCTTGCTCCTCTTCCTTCCTCTTCTGCATTAGCTCTTTGTGCCGACGATCCTCCTCCTCCTGGTAAGCCCAACACGGCAATTACTCACCTTGCATTGTACAGGAACAAGCTCCAGAATAACAAAGCTGGAACACTTTATTTGACCCAAGTCTCCAGCACCTCTCACTACACAGCAGGGAAACAACTCAGGGCTAAATTCCCACTGCTTTCAAGGTAAGTGCATCATCTCTCCAGCTATTTCAGCACTGGCCTATTCCCTGCCCATAACATGTCCCAAAGAGCCTAATGGCCACCATGCTCTGGATCTCTGAGAGACATCTGGGTTACCTGAGAGGTTTTAATACTTGCCAATCCCCAAATGAAGGTCTCTAGTAAGAATCTGTCCAGAACGGCAGAAGAAATGCAGGTCACAACCACCACTAACAGCATATTGCAAGAGGAAGCAGGAAGCACAACACTGCAGAGAGCTTTAAGGACAACGCCTCTCTACACTAATTTTCACTTGGTTGGTTTGTGTTAGTAATTCTGCTCTGCATTTCTTGCTTACAAGGACCATGGCACATCATGGCCACTCTAACTGGACGCAGGATGATAGGATGGGCTTCAGCACAGACCTGTTGCAGTGCTTTTTGTTTTCTGGCCTCTTCATCATGCTTGCGCCGGGCCTCTGCTTCTTCCATTTTCTTGGCAGCTGCTTTCTTTTTTATCTTCTCTTCTGCCAACCTTTCTTCCCGCACCTAAGACACACACAGTTAGCTGAATACCTAAGTCTCAGATGGGACAGTTCTCTGTGCATGTGAAATATCACAGCAGTAAGTCAGAGCACCCACCCTCTCACAGGGCAAATCTTCCTTTGTTGCCACCAGAGGACAATGGGACCTGTGCTTTATTTTAAAAAGATAATATTTAGGGAAATTACCCTCTTTTACATCTCCACAGGAAGACCTGATCCTATTCTGGTAATTATACATCTAATACCACAAAAGCCATCAGAATGTATTTTCAGAAGCATGAAAGAAGAAAAGCAGACAGAGATAATTAAAGCAGACAAATGACAGCGATTGTCATGTGTGCAAACTGTCTGAAAGTCTCAGATACAAGAGAGGGTCTGGAGGAAGTATGTTTATTTCCATCTCTTCATCTATTAGTCAGATGGGAGAAAGAACAACTTCAAGCTGATAAAGCCCCAGGGCCATTAGGCTGGCTTTATCTACTTGAAGTTCTTCTCCCATCCGACTAACAGAGCATTAATAAAGTCCACTTAGAGTCATAATTCTGGAAAATAAGGGGTTTTGTCTGCCATTTGTTGTAACCAAGAGAGAGGCAGTCACTTAGAATTACCAAGTTTCTGGAAAGTTCTATATTCAACCGTTCTCCAGATTTCAAGCAGATTCAGTTCCTCTTCCTGGAAGGCACACTCATGTGGCATTATCTACCTCAATAGGTTACTTATTCTCCCAAATAAACTCTGTAGGTATAGTGAGCCTTACCTTCTCAGTCTTCTCATCAGACAGAGCTATCTTCTGCTCAATGAGCCTTTTCTTCTGTTCCTCTGCCTGCTCTGCCCGTTCCCGAGCTTGCAGCACTTTGCGCAGGCGCTCCTCGCGCTTCCTGTAGAACACAGCCCAGCTTCATCAGTGGAGTCCAGCTAGATGAGTTCCATACAACTCAAATGCAAGGCCAACGGACACAGTTCTTGGGCAGCATGAAATTCAGTTAACCAAATACACTGTTCGTTTAAACACTAACAGTATTTTTAAGCTCTGAGACACAGGACTTAAGATGAAAAGCCGAAGAAGCAGTCAGCTAGGATAGTTATATTGTTGTTAGCATTCTAGATAGATCCTATGAGAACAAATGCTGTCTCTGCAGTGTAAGAGCAAGCTGACAAGAATTTTTGTTGCATGTATGGACTCTGCAAGATAAGAGACCTAGATACAGGGACCTACAAGTACAGAGAGAGCCACCCAGACAAGGCAGAAAGCATACACTCACAGCTTTGTCTCTTTTAGTCGCTGTTTCTTTTCTTCTTCCATTTTGTGTTTTCTCAGCTGCTCAGCTTCTTGCTTTTTCCTCAGAGTCTCCAGCTTCTGTCTCTCCTTTTCCTGAGGTGGATTGAAATGTGATTATACTCACCTGCCAGGGCTTCTTTCTACCTCAACCTGTTTGGTTTAAGTCAGAGCCCAGATACAACAAGGAACCACAGCCAGAACCAGGGGATGGTAACAACCCTGAAACAGAGCTCGGGCAGCCTGTGATGTGGTCATGGAAGCTTAAGAACAGATGCGATGGAAAACAAAGCAGTGGTATTAATCTTGGAGATCAAGAGAAGAAGGGGGGAAGTTGAAAAGGAAGCATCAGCTCCTGAAGTCCAGGCAGCTTCTGCAGAGATTGCAAACAGCCAGCACTGTGATTTATGTTGGTAAAAAGGACCAAAAAAGCAGCACTAATGCTTGGCAATCACATCAACTTCCGCAGCGAGCGTAGGGGACAGATGGTGCTCTAGGAAACACCTTGCTTACTTCAACTCAGAGCTCCCACTGGCATCTTTGCTTCCCACAAAGCTTTATCTCCTGGTAAGCCACCATCATTTAGACAGAGTGCTTTACAGCTTGTTCAAGCACACAGTCAGCCCCATATGTCATCCAGACAGAAATGCAGGGCATTTGTCCCATTTTTCCAGCTAAATCAGACTAAGTATACTGTCAATTAGAAGAGCTAGATCCAGCCATCACAGCAAACATATTAAGATCAACTAATTTAATGCCAGATTTAATACTGCAAATGCCTCACTGACAGGCCTGGTCTTAGTACAAACCCATTGATAAGCACGGCGAAATATTCAACAGATTACCTTATGCTGGGCTTCATGCTGTAAATGACTGGTGTTATTAGCATCCAAACTGGCTCATTTAAAACTAATGATTATACGTTCTTGCTCTGGTGCTATTTAATTATTTTTAGCCCCTACACAGAAAAAGTCTGGAAGGGAAGTTGCCTGCACTGGAGTGAAACCTGAAATAAAACATTCAATGCACTGACAGCATCAAAGGATGCACTAGTCACAAGCCTGTTTTCTCATCACATCAGCTTCTTTGCCGATGCAGACGCTAACGTCAGCAGAAACACCAGGAAGACTGAAGCTTGAAGCCCTCACTGCTTCCTAGGGATAGACTTTTCTTATCTGCTGGAGAACAGCAAGACTCTCTAAGCAGTAAAACCATGACAGCTTTAGGCATTACAAGTAAGTTCTGATGTTAGTTTGCCAGATATAAGCTAGAAGCACGAAAACCAATTTCTGCAGTATGCCCTCGTCTTCCTCTCCAACTCTTCTGCAAGTGAAAACAAGCCCTAGAGCTACCTTATTTTGCAGGCGAGTTGTTGGGTATTAGAAGTATGAGCAATCTATGCTCAGCATGCCAGCTTCCAGCATGTCCTTAGGTGCATCTGTGAAGCTACACCCTTGCACTTGCCTGACACTGTCAGAGAGCAATGCTGGAACAGGAACTACAGTGCACTGCTTGAAACCCACTTTTCCTCAAACACCAACTTCTCATTTAAATACCAATCAAAATGCAGATCAGGTAAGGGTGAGGGCTGCCCATCAGGGATGCAGATAGTGATCCTACTGCAAGTCCAGCCCATGTAACCAATTGATCATTATTTATGATCGAACTGTAAGGGAAAACCAACTTCCTTTGGAAATAGAGAACCAGGTCTGCTCAAATCCCATCCACCCAGACAATCACTCTGTTTGGAGTACATGAGCTTCTCCTGTGATGCTATGAACTTCACTGGGGTATTGTACAGGTAGAGGCACCTGCCTGCAAAGACAGCAAACGTGTTTTTTGTCCTTACTGGCTGCAACAATTATACTACACCGATATTGATGCCTGTTATGTTTGGACACTCGCATACTTATCTCACTGAACCAGCAGTCTCCTATTCAGAACAGACTCATACTTCCTCCTGCTTCAAAGGTCTGAAAAACTTCAAAGTTTATCATGCAAAGCTTGGATTTTAAGAGGCATTTGCTCAGATCTCACTCATTAGAAGAGTCTTGGAATGAAGACTTTGGATGTGCAGTCTTCCCTTATATGTGCACCTCAACTGCAGCATTCAAAATCCTCTTGATTTTCATTTCCCAGTTTTCATTCCTGACTGTTACTTGCTAATACCACAGGGGAATGCTATAGTAATAAAGCTTAGAGTTCAAATTAGAACTGTTTAGGAAGCCGCTCAAGCACAATTTTATTTTGTTTATGTAAAGGTAAAGAGACAGCTCAATGTTACTTCTTAGTTTAATATGGGTTGAAAACTTTCCTTTATGTCTGTGCTTGAACCTAGACACTCATCAGACCATCACGTACTAGCTTACAAGAGTCTCGTCTTACCTTGGGGTCAAATTGTAGAGGCATGTTGTACCTGATAAAAGATTTTTTTACTCCATTTCTCCCCACAGAGCTTGGAGTCATGAGGAGCTGGTTCTTCTGCACAGTGTGCAAAAACGTTTTGAAAGGACGTACGACCTATGAAAGGAATAGCAAAAATGATACTCAGGAGTGTAATAAATAGGTTTCAGTAAAGTACCTTAGGGTTACAAGGATCTTACTTTGCTGGCTGGAAAGGCAGGAGATGGAGTCTTTCTTTTCAGAGGAGAAAGCCCTCCATCCTGTGCTTGCTGGTTGTCATAGCGTTCATCCACAGCTCTTTTGTAACTTGTCTTTCTCCTGTGAGAAAAACAGTCTATCATACTTGGCAAATCCTCCTGATTGTCTCAAAGTCAGGTTAAAAAAAAAGTCATAAAGCCGTCCTAGCTTAAAAGTTATTTCATTGTTTTATGCACAAGCAGTTATCCAATGAAAAACTTCTAAGGTGACAGAACATACAAATTAAATCCTCTTTTCATAGAGAGAGAGAAAACTTATCGCCAAAGTTTCATAGTTCCATCATACTGAAACCATTTAACAATGCTTCAGTGTAGAACCCGCTTTGAACTGGACTACAGATCTGCAAAGGCACCTTCCAACCAGAATGATCCTGCAAACATACCTGGCACTCTGGGGTGGTTCCTGGGTCTCCCCATTCTTAGTTGAGTTGTTTTCTGAAACAGAACAGTTACACAGTAAGTTCTAGCAAAAAAAATAAAGAAAAAAAAATCCCTTCCAACGCAGCTCTGAAAGCAGACAACAGATTTAGCAGCTCACTAAACAGTAAAAAAAAACCTGCCATGCATTATGCACAGCAGGACCATGGTTGCTTTCAGCAAGCAACCACACAGTGCCACTCAAACCTAGAAATACAAGATAAAGCAAAGCTGTCTAAAGTCATCTGTGGTACACAGTCTGCACTAACATTGCTGTTGTGGTCTGCACAGATACAGCACAACTGCTTGCTTTTGGAAGCAGGATACAACTCAGCCTCCCATAACCTGGAGAACGTGCATCCCTCCATCCTCATTACATCTATTTCCATTCTCTTCCCACGATGGAAAATAACTCCAGCACAGAATTTCCTAACTGCTAATCTCTTGAAACGAATTTTCATTTGTCAAAGATTAGATTAGTCTTTCAAACTGGGTTCTCAAATTAACTAGACAATCTTTCAAACTTCCCAGTCAGCCTCCCAACAAAGTGACGACTTTCTTAAATCCTGCCACAAAAATCCTCTGAAAGCTACCATCGTTCCTCATCTCCTCCGGCCGTTCGTTTCTGCTGACAGTTCGAGAGCGAAGTGACATTTGTGGACTTTGGGGATTCTGTAGGAAAAGCAAATGGGATTCAGCACAACTCTCACACAGAAAAAGTACACTGTCTGCAATATTACCTGAAAATGCAAAGCTGCATGCAATATAAAGTATTGGTGCCAGCACCCGGAGCCAGTACCCCTAACCTTCAGCTGTGAAAAATACCTCAGGACACCATCTTGCTAAATTCCTTTATGTCATGTCATCACTCGAAGCAGAGACATTAACAGAACATGAGGGATGCACTGCTTAAACTGAAAAACTCAAGCTATTAAGGACAAAAGCATTTTAAGTTGGAAAGCTGTTTATGCTTGCTGGACTTCTGGCAGATAGTCAGGCAGCGCCCATTTTACTTAGCGGTGATGAGCAGGGAGACAGCAAAGATAAACAGCTCATTTCCTCGATTTATGTTTCTGCTACAAATGTGATCTGCATCGCTGTTCGCCGCCTTTGCACTTATACCGATACACAATTCTGTTGTGATAATGGTTTTATATGCCTGTGAGAGAGCAGGCAATGGCTTTTGAAATCCGCACTGTTAGCAGTGCATTAACTCCAAACCCACCTTGGCCAGTGTGTGGGCTGGCAGACACAAGGGAGTTGAGAAGAAGAAAGAAGTTTGGAGGCTTTATCCTCCCCAAATGCTTCTGCAGGGTCTTATTCTAAGGCTCGGTATATGAAGCATCTTGTAGCCCAACAGAAGGGCACAGATGTAATTAATTCTAGCTTGGGCCTGAGAAGAATCTGACCTTTAATTAACAGCCCATGAACAGGTACTGTCTTTATAGAGCTCCACTCCATTAATTCAGTCTTTACTGACTGAAAACGATTCTGGAAAACATACTGAAATAATATTGGAATTTCTTCCTCAGGAGGGCAGTGGGAATAGTGGAGGAATATGTTTTGACCTGAATTATATTTACAAATGTTGTGGTTGTCTTAAGACAAACTGACAAGCTTTGAATAACCTGCAGGACTATCAGAAAGGTCAAACAAACCTTTAAAATACTGAAATAGTAAGTGTACAAGCTCCGTCCAACTGAAAAAATCTTCCCTGAATTATAAGGTTATTTATCTGTATAGGTTCAGGATTGAATTTCCATACAACTGATCTCTAGCAAAAGGCGAGGGAACAAGGGCCAGAAAGCAGGACTCAACTCTGAATGCCAACAATACGAAGGTCGATATTCAGTGCTGGTGTGTATCAACCCATCATTTACATTTAAATATATTTATACAAAATTACAGAGAGAATGCTGTTTTCTAGTCAAAGCTAGTCCTGGCTTTGAAAGCACCTGAGATTGGAACGCTATACTGACAGAATACCTCTACTTGCAACCAAAAATAAGACTTGGGTCACATGTGCTCATTGTCCAAATGAAACTTTACTGGTTTTTGACTTGCTGATTTTCACAGAATCACAGAACGTTAGGGATTGGAAGGGACCTCCAAAGCTCATCCAGTCCAATCCCCCTGCCGGAGCAGGAACACCCAGATGAGGTTACACAGGAAGGCGTCCAGGCGGGTTTTGAATGTCTGCAGAGAAGGAGACTCCACAACCTCTCTGGGCAGCCTGGGCCAGGGCTCTGTCACCCTCACTGAGAAGAAGTTTCTTCTCCAATTGAAGTGGAACCTCCTGTGTTCCAGTTTGTGTCTGTTACCCCTTGTCCTATCATTGTCACTGAGAAGAGCCTGGCTCCATCCTCGTGACACTCACCCTTTAAATATTTCTAAACATGAATGAGGTCTCCCCTCAGTCTCCTCTTCTGCAAACTAAAGAGCCCCAGCTCCCTCAGCCGCTCCTCAGAAGGGAGATGCTCCACTCCCTCCATCATCTTTGTAGCCCTACGCTGGACTCTCTCCAGCAGTTCCTGTCCTTCTTGGACTGAGGAAACAGTGCAATTGAAACAGACTCGAGAATCTCAGATTTTCTCTAGTCTGTGTATTGAACCAGGGAGGCTATGGACAGGCTTGTGCACGTGTGCAAGCTGAGCACTCTAAAGCGCTATGCAGCAGGTTGACTGAGTCCAGCGATCTGTGGCCAGAGCTCCCCAATCCCCCACTAACAAATGAGGGCTGTATTCAACACATTTTTCTCACAAGTCCACACAAACAGAAATCCCTGCTTAAATCTTACCAGTTTGGTGGGGGTACAAGGTTCAGGAGGAGGCCTAGAATAAAAAAAAACAAAGAAAAAGGCAGCCTTGTTTAATAACATCAAGGAAACTGGGAAGCAACTTGTTATCTGCAAGCAGTACATTTTATACCAAGAATGTCACTGTAAAGAAGTCCTCCAAGCAAGATACTAAGGATAAAGAAATATCTTAAAGTAGTCTTACCCAGTTTTCACAACTGTTTCTTCATCCTCTGTCACCTCTCCAGAGCTGGAGACAGCTGGAAAACAAAAAAAGCCAGAGCTGTAACTTACAGATGCAGGCCAAGACTCTTTGTAGGAGTGAAGGTCACCCAAGACTGCTGTAGAGGTGCTCGCTCTGCCTCTTTACTTATTCCCTGCAATTCAGATGCATACCACTACAAGCAGGGGCAGCTGAATACACTGAAGTAGCACTAGAGAAAACACTGCCTGAAATTTTAATATTAGAAAAGAGATGTTTTCAATTATAGATGAGTTCAAAGTGCTATTCAATGAGCTTACATCAAGAGTGCCTGGGTTTGGGCCCCGACTCATTTTGCAGAGCCTCATCCAGATATTAACAGCAGTTAAAACCAGCATTATTTACAGTCAGAGTGCTGCTTCCAGCTCAGCATTCCAGCTGGCTCACTGGTGGCTAGCTTTTAAGTACTGACACAGCCGGAAACTGCTGTTAATAATTAAGGCAGCAACGCAGCCTCAGCCTTGGTGGAGTACACAAGAGCAGACTTTGCAGTCAGAGCGTGCAGTCCACTCCCATGTTATCAAAGGCAGCACAAATCCACATGTTGTACACATAATGCAGCGTGAGATCCAATGCATCAGGGCCACAGCAGACTCACTGCAGTACATTAAGGTGCCTTGGGCTTTCAGACATTAACCAACGCAACTGGAGCTGCCTGAGACATCTCAGTTCCTCTCCTTACACCCAGAAATTTTGCCTAGGCAGAAAAATGATTGTGTCAAGTAGTGCAGAGGGAAGAAATAAAGCCGTTCTTAAACCTCTCAGGTAATCCAGATCCAGACAACACGGAGTGGCCATTTAAACTGGGCAGGCAAAGCTATTTCAGTGCCTCTTCAAAATTACAGATGAGAAGACTTTCCTACAGTTTCCTTTTTTACTGAGGGAGCCCTCAGCACTGCACTTGGAAACTTACACAGCCCTCCATGCTGCTCTGATCTGGGGACTGCAGTGCTCTGGTTCTAGAAAAACATTCAACTAGAACAGTTGAATTGGTATGGGGGAAAAAAAACCAACCCACTAAAGTATTTCTCCAAATGTATCCTACTACAGCAAAAGTGTGGTAATTCTTCAAGAAAAGTCAGTTCTATGCAGCACAAATGCCACAAACCTAGAACACTGCAGATGAACACATTACAGTAATGTTGCTGCAGCTGTATTAGTTCTCCCTTCAAAGAAAGGAGTACACTGTGCAGAAGAGCCAACCTCTCCTCAACACCAAATAGTGTGGAAGAGGTTCTTCTGCATTACCTGCACTTCAGAAACCATTGCTGGTCCACCACTTACTGGCCACTTCTTTCCCTCAGCTTGGAAAAAAGTGGTTATCCACCACTATGTTCTCCTGCACCAAATCCAGTGCTTGCGTTCCAGTAACTCCGAAGAACATTTAAATTTTTTGTCCCTTGCAGAAACCTACTTTTATTGCAAACTGTAAAAGTTCGGAAGAAATGTAATAAATTTACAAAGTTCAGCCACAAAATTCCCTTCTCAAAAGGGGAGCTCTAGAACTAGCAGCCCCTGGTTAAAGAGCAGTGAATCTGTGGTAGCTACCTCATTGCCCAGAAAACATGCAGGCCTTTGTGAGAGCCCATAACCCTCTTAAGCAGCCATAAACCCTGTTCACCAGCTTCATCCTCGGCTTTGCAAGATGCCACCACAGATACTCAGAAGATATTAGTGGTGTTCTCCCAGCTGATTTACAAGGCTGAATTCACAAGCCATAAACCAGCACAGATCCCTGGGTTTCTCTACTCACACAGGTCTCTAGAAAGCTAGTCAGAGCATCCATGCTCAACTGCAGCTTTTCTAGCCTAGGATGACCAACTGCTGCACCTGACTGAAGAGCTAGCCCTGTACTGTTGTTTTCCTTCAGCAGCAAAAAGTAGTGGATTAACAAAAAGAGCAGGAAGAGTGCCAGGCAAACTCATCTGGTGACATTCAAACTTACCGTCCGTGCAACTGGAGGACACAGATGACTTTTGAGCTGCCTTCCTCTTGATCACGGTCCTGGTGACAGATTTCCGGATCATGCTTTCCCTCTTGCTGGCTAGTGAGTATTTCTCTGCCAAGGAGGTTCTGCGAGTCATGGAAGTTTTACCCATCAGACTTCTGCGTACTGAGCGACGGCTTAGCCGGGAGCGTGTCGGAGTCCCTGGGTTATCCCTTAAGCATTGTGAAGGCTCCTTATCAGACCCCTCTTGCACCTGAGCAGAGTCATCTACCTCCTCCAGCTCTTCACTCGAGATGACTGGGAGATTAGCTGCCTTTGCTGGCTTCAGCTTAGATGCAGCTTCGCTTTCTCCTGCGTCATTTGCCTCAGGAGTTTGTGGGACCACCAGCACAGAGGCTGCAGGCACAGGCGGCGACTTGGCAACCCTGCTTTCCTTGGGAGAATCATTGTCTGGGCTCAAGATGATGGTTCTGGAGAGCAGCTCTGCTGGTTCTGCTGCACTTTTCTGGAGATGCAGCTCAGCACTAACACGATCACTGACGCTGACTTCTACTACAGGAACCTTCCTTACTACTTGCTGGACAGGAGAAATCTCAGGAATGAGGGCTGAGCTTTTAGCAAGTGTTGCAGCCTGGGATCTTGTCACACGTTGAGGTGGAGAGACTTGTGTGACCTCAGCCCTGACTAGTTCCAGGTTTTCTTTATTTTGGAGTCGTTGAGAATATCGTGTGGAAGTTACCTGTTTCTGACTGCTGTTCCTCCTTCTAGACAACCTAACAACAGAAAAGACACATTAGACTTGAAGAGGATTCAGGAATAGACCAGAACTCCCAACAGAACACCCTGTTTACAGAACCCTGATCAAAGACACGGTAAGCAGAAATAGTGTGTCTACATCCTTATCTGTAAGGTCCCTGTCTGACAGCTCGCTGCCGCTCTGTGAACCTGTGCTACAGGCTGCACATGGCTCGAAGCTCTTCCATGCACAAACGGCAACATACAGAGAAACAAAGCTAAAATGTGTGGGATGAGCCTCTCTGAGAGCTCAACATACAGAGCTGCAGGCAGTGGCTAACGCAGAAAGTAACTAATGAACATAATTACTGTAGCATGGAAGAGATAACGAGAAAAAGATTAAACATAGGGATATAAAATGGAACTGAGTGACAAAGAACAGCGTTTTTCAGAACTATGGTGTCATAACAAGCTTAGGCCACCAGGCTGAGAGCTCTGAGCATGCTTAACCAAGGCTTTAACACCAGGGTGACATCAGGAACATCATGGACACACTGCGGGGAGGAGATGATCTTCCTGCCACCTTTGACACCGGATATTTTTCAGCCTCCGACTGCGGAGAAACATCAACAGGCTGCAAGCCAAGGCACCACAGAAGCTGGGATTCCCATAAGAACATTATTAAAAGAATAAATAGCAGCTGGGATTTATACAAAGGCAATCTTTAAAAGACTAAACTAAGTTATTCTAAAGTATAACAGGACGTTGGAACAGCCTAAAAGTGGGAGTTCAAAACTACACCAAGCACTGTGTGCCTGGGTTAAATCGACCAGAACACGAGTTGAACGGTGTGCATGGTGTGTGGCAGGATGTCTTGGTCTTGGAACACCTGGCCATAAAGTATGGGAAATGATGGATGGGAAAGTGCTGTAGTGTGTGAACATCCTGATTGGCTGCACAGTCAGGTCCTTATCTGTAGCTATAAAAGTAGAGGTAGAAAATAAAAACTTCACTTGGCATTCATCTGCTGAGTCGGTTTCTTGTTTCCAGCTCACCGCATCCCACCAGCTCCCTCCCTCCCTCAGGCGCCAAGGGAAACTCTGAGCTCCACCTCCCACCCTCCCAAGCGACACTTCCCCGGATAAAGCTCCCCGGCTCTTCCTCACGGGAGGGTTCCGGCGCCCCTACCTCTTCCTATCCAGCTCCTGGCTCCCGTCCATCACGGCGGAGGATCGCTTTCTCCGCTGCCGCTTTTTCTGCGACGGCGTCTTGGGTATCAGCTCCGGCTTATCGCTGCAGTGGCTGTGAGGGAGAGAGGCGGGTGGGGG